GGTGGTGGTGGTGGTGGTGGTGGTGGTGGTGGTGGTGGTGGTGGTGGTGGTGGTGGTGGTGGTGGTGATTGAATATTCAGCATCTTTTCTCCCAAAACATCAGATTCCACTTGGCTACAGCGTGCTCCCTGTTCACTTTAGTGATTGTCGACAGACGCACCAAGCGAACTTGCGATGTCGGCGGCTTCGTGCTCTTGTACAAGCAGAAATTAGCCCTGCCCAATCAACTTCGTGCGGCCTGTGCAACCCGCGCACACCAATCCAGGCTCCTCAAAAGGACATCCGGCAGCGTAGTGCCAATCCGCAACCTGGTGCTGCAACCGCCCAAACCCGGTTTGAGGGAGTTCGTCTCCTCCTCTTGTTTAATCCATTTAACATGAAATGGTTGGCCTTCCAAATGGACCACCACAACCCATGTGACCTTGGTTCCGAAGCACTGTAATCAGGACAGCTGTCAAAACAATATCATGCCCTTAGTTACCACAAGATTTGTAGCTTCAAAGAAATCAAAATAAACCCTACAGTTGATTACTGAAATCAGTTTACGATTCTGGGCTCTGAACCAATCAGAAGCTGGTCAGAATTGGTAAATTGAAGGGGACTGAGTTTGGCCAAGGTAGTGCAAGTCTTCACACATATATTTTCGGTAGCTAGTCGAAAAATTCATTTAATTTGGATGACATTGGAATGTGGAATCATGAGTGGTTCAGTTGATGGCCATGGATCGAATCCGAATCCTTGTTTTAGCTTCTCAACCGAAACCCTTACAGCCCCTTTCCACACTTCTACTATTCTTTGCTGGACCACGTCTCAGTTTTCGTGGATTTATTAAAGTCGCCACTTTGTTAATAATCACAACGATTTGTGGTATCCAGATGTGGTTGGAAGATCTCCGACATGTACGCAGACATCACGACGGAATCTGGAAACGAGGTGGAATGACTCGAATTCCCCTCGACGGGGTCGCTATCAAGACTCCATCATCAATGAAAAAGGGTCCACAAGTGACACAATCGTTCGAGGTTGTTTAAACGGTTTATCGATTAGGGTCATGAGACACACGTAGTGAAGTGTCTTGTTACTTTGGAACCACCGTTTCAATCCACCTTCATTTTTTGCAGGAAACCGGGTGTGCTTCCATCGATCGTCAGAACTGCGTCGGTGAAGGCCAAGAGGCCACATCTTGGTACGCGCAACGACTGTTCATCAGCTGCCCACTTCCTCCACGCTAGTGGCACCTCCAACAACAACAGCAGCAGGGACTACCGCACCGACGAGGAGAATCGGATGCCAACGCCGTCTGATAATCACCGCTTGAATCGTCAGCCTGCCACGCCGAAAGCGACTTCTAGACGCATCGCGACGCCCTCCAGATCGCCTTTACAAGTGTCCAAGGCATTGAAACCACCAATTAGAACGCGATCCTGTGGCGCGAAATCCAGTCTCCAGGCTGTGCTTGAGTTACAGCAAATGGCAAGGCCTTCCGGTGAGTTGGATGTCTGCACTCTTTACAAGACCTTGATGATGTCGATGATGGTGTCTGCTGGGTTGCCTTAATTGTAGGCCTCAAACAATCGCCTGCTACCCGGTCTGAGCGGTCGACAGTGTTTGCGACGAAATTGACCAATTAGCCTTCGCGAATTTGACCAATCATAGGTCTATTCATTTGCTCCTACCTCCTCTCCCCACCGCCACCTCCTCCCCCCACCCGACTACGTATTTTTCAGTACTTTACTTTCACCGAATAGGTGAGCCTACTTATACTCATTTCAGTTAATTGTTATCATTAACAATTATTGCTACTCTTATTACTCTCAGCATTGAGTGGGCTGTGTGTGGGTGTGTGTGCAAATGTTGACTACTATTATGTATGACGAAAAAGTGTCTTCATATTCAAACGTGTTCCATTTGTTCCCGCTTCACGTGGCTACGATGATCTCACTCGTTGGGATTTGGGGAGCGTGAAATCATCGATTCGGAAATTAAAATGGTTAATGTCTTGCTGATGCACTTTAGAAGTAGATGAGACTAGTAAACATTTTCTACTTTTAACACGCTATTTTGTTCATCTATGACCTTGAACTACGATCGCGCGTAGTTCAGATTCGCAAATATTTGTTTTTCTGAAGTGGTCGCTTCGAGTGATTTGGTTTTTATAACAAGTCAAGGATTCTGGTAATTCATGACTCGCCTTGATACCATGCCTAGGATGCTCTGAAACCGGGCATAATGCTAGACGAATGAATCAGACAGACTTTAAGCGTGATGCTCTCTTCAAAGACTAGAGACTAGTGAGGGTGAAAAAAACGACGGTGGGACTTGTGTGTCGCATCTGCAAAAACTCAAACTCTTCGCGCTCTCTATTTACACGCGAACACATGCAAAAAGTCACATCTCAGACCCGACATTTAGGATAGAGCAAAACTCTGCGACGATCAGTTTATGAGTCTCCCCTGCGTCTCCCCCTTCCTTGAGGTTACGGAGAGAAGGAAACATAATTATAGGGTAGTCTGCTGCCCCAGCAGCTGGATTGTCCGTCCACCACCGCCATCCCCAGCCCCACCAATCAGCGCGCTCGCCGTGGTGCAAGAGCGCGCGTTTTGATTTTCTTCACGCGCGCACGCACGCACGCACACTACCGTTTACGCGTGGTGCCAGTTTTGTTCGTGTGTGCGCAAGAGTCCTCAAGCTGCGGTTGGGGGGAGGAGGACCGTGGGGATGGCAGCCCAATTACCTCCCTTCCCTCGCCAAACCACGCACACCAACACACCTCTCTTGCTGAAGTCTACAATTACGGAGGCAGTGAGGCAGCTCCTCGTGTAAAAAAATTCTTGCGACAAAATTTTGAAATTTTTGCCTCCAATGGGGCCATTTGTAAAGAAAAGTGGTCTGAGGATCAAGTCGACGAAAATTGCCCCAAGTTTTGCACAGGCGCGGTTATATTCCTTATCTCAGAATGTCTGTCGCCTTTCGGAAAGAAATTACTCATTATCGCTCTCAAGGTATATGTCTTTCTAAAATACACGTATACCCGTGGTTGAATTAAATGGCTTTACAAACTTCAGGCCACACATAAGTTGGGCCAAAGTACAAACCTCGTCGATTTCTGACTGGCCAATAGGCGAGCAGCGTTTGAAGGTCGCGATAACGACTAGAGGGTTCGATGGAGTTCACAAAGTGCAGAAGAACGAGCGGTTCGGGTGGTGTGCTAGTGAAGTTGCCACACAGCAGGCCTGCACAGGGATGGGTGGTGCCTGCCTGCCCGCCTGCCTGTTTTATGGCCACATTTTGCACTCTGAAAAGGGGTGGTGGTGGCGGTGGTGGTGGGTGGGGGGAGGGTGCTCGGATAATCGTTGCCCGCAGTGGCCTTTCACTTGTCGCCGCGCTGGTCGTTTGACACGCCCATCGTTTAAGTGGCCACTGCTCAATTTATTCCCCATTATCGTGGGCCTTTGTTGGTGCGTCTACCGGTGCCTCAACTAAAAAGGGACGTGGCCGTGCCTGTGCCGTATGGCCCTATGAATCACCAAGCGTATTTGGCCATTCCAACTGGGTGCATGTCTATTTAGTGCATGACATGAGTTCTGCAGATTTGCCCGCAAGCAGTGTTGATGCACAAAAGGATAGATAACAGCGATGTGGATGCTGAAAATGCTGCCAGTCGTTTTCTACGACCTGGAGTGCTTCTCTCTCCCTCGCTCAAGCAAAGTACAAATGGCGTCGCGAAGGAAACTTGCCGGCTTTGTCGAATTCACGCACGACGTCCAGCATTTGTAACAGTTTATCCTCTAGGGCGTGCTGCTGCATTGACCAGAACTAATGTTAGTCGGAAGGGGGGGGCAGAACTTCCCATCCCACGTTCAAGAGGGTCTTGTGAGTCGAGCGCCGGCAACTCGTGGTGGTGGAGCGTTGTCATGCGGCGGCAGTAGTGTGAGCTGCCTGCTTCTTTACCCGCTAAATGGCCTTTTCTCATCAAGTTATTCTCTCAGGTTATTCAGTTATCGGCTGTAGTGTTCCACAGTCACCGTCTGATGACCAGTTTTCAGGCGTTCATAATAAAATACACCACCCCTGTCCCCCCACCAGATACGCAGGAGAACCTTCTTCAAATGGATGTTCTTCTTCGGTGTCGATGTACGGGGCTGTAGCCCGGCATCTACTCACGACACCATTTACGTTTGGGATTTTCGCAACAAAAAATATGCTTTTTATTATCAGTCACAGTTTTCCACAAGACGCCCTTTCACTGTTTGTTGCCGATGGGCAAGCAGTGACAGGCATGTGTGTTCGTACGTTAATCTAGGTTGTGTTCAGTCGACACATCTCGGGAGACCCTACTTCCAAACGTTTGAATTTTTTCCATTTGGTGGTGCGAATGCTCGGAAATAGGTCTTTGAGTGACGCCTAACTGAGCTGCAAGCTCTTGCAGCGTCTACTTCCAATGTCGCATCTTCAAACTTTCGAAGCTGCTGTGCGGGGTGCGCGGCTGGTCACAAAAATCAAAATCACCGTTTCTAAAACGCTTGAACCACTAATTACACGTTTCATGCGCCACAACTTCGGCACCAAGACCACTGCAAACTGATTCCCCCGTGCTTATCAAGCACCATTTCCATGTTGTTGGAATTCGTACCAAATGAAGTGCCGTCGAATGTGCTATTTATCAGTTACCACCGTAAACTCGGCCATATTCTGAGAGTCTGTGTAACTCACGTAGACTTGTCTTTCGATGTTGTGTAACCTTGCGTGTAATTCTTTCAAAGCCACAAAAGACCGCAAAAATATTTCCATTTTAAATAAAATTTTAAACTCGAAGACCAAATCTGAATGATCTAAGTCATACACTTAATGCCTCTCTCAGCACAGATTCCAACATGTTCTTGGAAGTGTTTAGACACCTGTGTACTTAAACAGGAACTTCTACAAAAATCGAGATGGCTTTTCGCTAACTAGAAATCACCGGATCACGGTTTGACTCCTGGTAAGTACACTTAATCGACACGGCTCCAGTGAAAGGTATATCTACCTACCTCCTTCATTTACAAGTTAGGCAACTTTGCAACCTGCTGCGTTTAAGTGATGTGCTTGTACGCCTCCGATTTTTTCTCCTGAAGTAACTCGCCCAGCTTTAACTTGAGGTAATTCTCAGATTGGTTTGGTCAATTTACAAGTCCTAGCACTCTCTTGGTAAGAACTGAGGTCCCTCTCGCTAAATTCAAACAAGGCGCTTAAATAAACTGCGTATTTATAGAAATGCAAAGCGCCAGATCGGATGTGGTTTAAGAATTCTGGGGGGATATTTATACGGCACCTCCATCATCAGCTTCCATCTTCATTAGTTTTCGTTTTGAAACCTCGACATTCTCGTCAGGGTCAGTTTCATTGACGCACGCGTTCTCCGAGTGTCCGTCAACATCGCCGTTGGTGGCGCAATGCGTTCTCGTGTGTTTGTTCAGTTGATCGCTGCGCACAAAGCGCTTGTGGCACAGTGGACAGACGAGATTCTTCTCTCCTGCGTGGGTCCGCAGATGGCGCTGCAGCTCATCGGACCTGGTGAAGCGTTTCCCACAGAGCAGCCAGTTGCACACGAAGGGGCGTTCGCCGGTGTGCCATCGAAGGTGCGCCTTCAGGTGACTCGTTTTGCTGTACACCTTGCCGCATCCGGGCACATGGCAACTGTGCGTCGTGTTGGCGCGTCGAAGCTCCGCCGCCATCTCCGGATTCGACGCCGCAGCTAGCTCGACCTGCTGACAATTCGGACAGTCGCAATTCGTCCGAGATCCGGCGTACCGCTTACCGCCAGCCCACGTGGTTTTGGTCAAATTTGGCGTGGGACCTCGAGGCTCGTAGTAATTCTGCGACTGCGCGGCAGCTTGCGCAGCTGCTAAGAAATAGTTTGCCGCGTAAGTTGAATCTTTGTGGGCTTCCAGAGTTGTGGCCTGTTGGCAGTAGCTCTGATAAGGGTTGATGAAGCTCGACATCCAATTTTGCTCGAGTAAGGGGAGGTAGCGGTTCTGGGAGTAGTCGTAGTTGTAGGCGGCCGACAGCTCCGACTGCCATTGGTGAACGGACGTAGCAGAGGCGGCAGGTGAGAAGTCCTGAGGCGTGGCAATCGCTGCAATAGCTGCGGCAGCTGCTACTCTGGCCACGGCCGTTGTCTCGTTCAACGGCGACGGAGTTCGGTGATCCTGTGGGGGCTGAAGGAATCGATAGAGTGATTGCGACCCCTGGGAGGCAAACTCGAAAATGGGTTGAGTGGTGGTGGAGTGGGTGGTGTTGGTGGCAGAGGACTGAGCTGTCGTGGCGGTGGTGGTGAAGGCGATAGTTCCAGGAGAGGAAGGACTAGGTGAGGTCACGGAAGAGGTCGTTGTAGTGAGGCATCCGATACTATGACACTGAGCCTCCATCATGCTGAGAGAACTCGATGTCAGGCGGTCAGTTGAATTTGCTCGCTGAAAGTAAAGTAACTCTTGGTTGAGAATCGCTAAGTTGTAGTGAATTTTCTGTTCACTAGAGTGGGTAAAGCTTTTTCACGAGTTGATCCAATGTCATCGCGTTGGCGACCACCACGTCTACTTGTGATGCACACAGGATTCATTTACTGTAACCTTCACGCGTTGTCTCACCAGTATAATGAGTGATTAATTGTGTAGTCTAGATAGTTTGCTAACAAGTATAATGTAGATTGATGTGATAATTTCAAATAATTTGGTAAAATTTATTCAGTAGCTAGGCAAGTTCAGCCAAAACTGTCCTACTTTCCGCAACTTTCCACAACTTTTTAACCAATCAGCATTACTCCACCACGCGACATCAGTTCAAGATCACCTGCTGCCCGATCACTCGACCAGAAATCGATAAACCCCGGAGGGATGTGACCAATTCAAACTGGCACGCGCACGCACGCACATGCGCGTCAATCATGGAACAGCTGCAAATGCAGGTGATGCCTTGGCAAAAAAATAGCCCTTATCCGCACGATAAACTGTCAATAGCCATATGCCGTTGCATTGTTGTCCCTCCTGGTGAAAATTTATCAACGCCTCGCACCCCCCTGGCTTTCTCCAGGGCATCCCCTTTGCAAAAAAATAACAGGAGGCAGATAATTAAACACCGCCCACCCCCCACTATTCCCGTTCTGTCGCGTGAGGAGGAGAAGAAGAGGGTGGTGGTGGTGGTGATGGAGGTGGAATCGCGACTTGCGGGTTGCATTCGGTCGGCTTGCCTGGAATTTTCCTGACTTACGACTGGCTGCAGAATCAACCTCGGATAATTGCTGGGTGTAGACAATGAATTACGAGATTGTTATCGTGGGACGCGCTGCCATAACAAACTGGGCAACCTTTGACTAACTTTTATCGCACCTGGCAAAGTATACACAGCTTCAGAACAGTCCAAATTCAAGGTACATGCACGGTTTCCACAGCGTCATTCGACAAACCAAATTATCGATTAATCGCCGTTCCAAGAGCGTTGCAATGAACTTGCGGGCTTCCAGGCAATAGAGCCGTCAACGACGAATTGACGCACATCGTCCAGGGTCTTAAACTGGTTATTCACTAAGGCGTGCCGCAGTTACATTGGCCGGAATAAATGGCAGTCGGAAGGGGGGCCAAATCTGGTGGATATGCCATGTGTGGCAGAACTTCCCATCCCACGTTCAAGAGGGTCTTCTGAGTCGTGCGGGCAACATGATGCCATCGAACGCGGTCAGGCAGCAGCAGCAGTAAACATGCCTGCTTCCTTGCACAGTACATGACCTTTTCTCATCAGGTCCTTCTCGCAGTTTATTCAATTGTCGGTTGTAGTGCTGGCAGTCACCGTCTGATGACCAGTTTCCAGGAGTTCGCAATATATTACACCATTCATGTCCCCCCACCAGATACACAGGAGAATCGCCTTCAAGTGGATGTCCTGCTTCCACGTCAATGTTGCCCGGGATCCATATGCGACACCATTTTGCGTTTAGGATTCTCGTAACAAAATGCATGCTTTTCATCACCCGTCACAATTTTCTTGTTGTGAAACCATCCGTCCGATTGTTTTAAAGTCACAAAAGACCGCGAAAATATTTCCATTTTACATAAAATTTTAAACTCGAGGACTAAATCTGTAGAAATTGAGTCACACACCTGGTAAATCAACGAGCAATCCGTGATTTCGAAAAAAAAAACAGTGAAACGTTTGGGCTTATCACATGGGTCAAATCGGCTTCGACGTGTTTGCCAGCTAATTTTCACCTGCACTGCCAGTTTTGCACCTGGTGTGGGTTGTTACGCGGTGAAAATATCGCCAACGTAGCAACAACTGGGGCTAGAAGATTCAGCGATTTACGCTTCACCAGAGAGGCAATTAAACTCACTCGAAGTGATTAATTTTGGCTTCATTCGCTGGACAGTAAATCTTGACTAGTTGTGCACATCGTTCGTGTGAAAACTCCGTCCCCCCAGCCATGCTCAGTTTGATGTGCTGACACGCCTCAATGAGTTATGGCATTCCCTTTCACCCTCCCGGTATCCCGCGAATTTGGTTGTGACAAATGCAGGACAGGTGGCAGATAACGCTACGTTAACCGGAATAAGCAACGCTGATTGGTTGTTTTGTCGCGATCACCTGGCTTAACTAACAGCCATTAATTCACATTAAAATTTAATAAACAATTCAACGACAGATGTATATATTCAAAACGCACTATCTGCGTTCACCGTTCAATTCAAATATTCATTCGAGAAATTCAGAAGACAGGAGAGAATTTGGAAACAAAATTTGCCACCTTGTGTCGACGTCGTGGACATGAACAGAAGGCAGTGTCGTCGTTTGACCTTCAACCACAGGTCACAAGTCATTTCATCGAACTGTAAAGCCCTAACATTCGTGGCGGCATAACGTCACGTGACCAGCTGACGGCTGGACAGGTCACGCCTGTTTACAATGCCAATTTTGAGGACTCGTTGTTGTGTTCCCTTTTCTCTCATGGGAGCACATGAAACTAAAAAGGTCTCCTTTTGTCGAAGCCGTTTACTCATCTAGAAAGTAATTAGCCCGAAGGGCGTATTGTTCTAGCCAAAGGCCTGCCACAGCACATGACTTTGTCCCCTGCGTCTAAATCTGCCCTGGTCATTTGCCACAGTCACATCAACTGACACTAACGAACACTGATTGAGGCTAATTGCAGTTGGATGGAAAGTCACACGTAGGAAAACGAAGCGTGACAAAAGTCTGCATTCCTGTGGGATGGTGGGAGCGCTAGGGGAGCGGATGCCAGAGAAGAGGGTCTATCTCGGGCACAAAATTTGTCATGGCAACAATTATCTCCTCATTGCAGGTCTCTGGGTGACAGGTTGTCGCTCTGTGCATGTGTGGTCATACCACCACCACCGCCACCATCACCTCAAATCACCCACGAAAGACGTCAGACGTGTCGTCTTTGTCGATGAGGTAGGCGACTTGAGGCACATAGCTACACTCATCTCTCTCTCACCCTGCGATGCCGTAAACACCGCTCCGTTCAGGTGCATCCAGTGTTACGATTGGACAATAAAATCGTGGTTGATTTGTGTCAAAAGTTAAACACGATGTGGTCTGTTTACTCAAAAGCCTAAACTCCTATTACGTCACATGACGGGAATTTATTGTTTGCATTACGAGGGATAAATCGTGGTCGCCATAGCAACAATACGACTTGGGGATTGGCGCAGTCGAACTAAAGCAATACGTAAAAAACAAAATCAGATTCGTGTGTGTAAAAGGTCCAATTATCCGACATTATTAACTCTCTGACTATCGATCAGCGTTTACATCATTCTGAAATGAAGCTCCATTAAAACTTCGTGACCTTGACAGCGGATATCGACTGAAATGAGAAAGTTAAGGCGCCACTTTTAAACTAGCCTCACTTAGGCAAAGCTAATGGTTTTTGAATAAAAATGCACAAAAAACAGCTAATCTGAAGTTGTTCGTGGAATTACGCATGGCATCGCTTAAATTTTGTATTGTAAAAAAATGGATATAGTTGGTAAAGAATAAGACATGGGGAACTCACAATGGGCATAACGGGAGCTGGTTTGATCGACTTGCGAACAGGTGGGTTGAGTGAGGAAGGAGTGAAGGTTAGGCAGCGCTTCGGGGTGGACAAATGCCAGAGGCTATCAGCACGTCACTGTTCTCAGCTTGGCAAGACGCGCGTGTCAAGCCGACCAATGATCGTCAGCGTGGGTGACAGATATCAGCAGCCACTAGCCAATTAACGGCCGAACCGACATGTGGCGTGACCAATTACTAATTAGCATTTGGACAACCAATCGTCTAGTGCTGCCCAAGCTAAGCTCTGATGTAACTGTTTTTTTTTTCTAAATCACCGCGTAGGATAAAATTTGCGAAATTCACCTGTCAACTAACTGGAAGGCGGTATGATTTGACTGATAGAACTGTCGGAGTTGGTAAATTCTAGTACGCGACAATTTTTGTCCAATCACATTGTAATGGCCGAAATTGTGGACATGTTGCCCTTGCATTGGTGGATTGAATCTGTCTAAACCAGTCACTTGGTGGGGCTTAGTGAATAACGTAAACACACGTGGGGGTGGGGTTGAGGTGTACTTATGATAAGTGATGTCATTTGAGGACATCAAAACCACACGGGTATCGATTATTCTTGACAAAAGATGGATGCAGATTTGTGGAATAGTTGACACTCCGTTCCCCATTTTGGATGAGGTTTCACTGAAGTAGGATTGCGTGTCCACTGAACACAGCTGTCTACTAATTTACAGCATTTTATGCGAATTATAACAAGGAATAAATGATTCTACAGCACGGGGGAATCAATTTGCAGTGTTCTTGGTGCCGACGTCGTGTCTGATGGAACGTGTGATTAGTGGCACAAGTGTTTTAGAAGCGGTGATTTCGATTTTTGTGACCAGCCACGCACCCCGCACGGTAGACTCGAGAGTTTAAGGATGCGACATTGCAGGCTCTACTGACTGAAGACTCGACGAAGACACAGCAAGGGCTTGCAGCCCAGTTAGGGGTCACCCAAGCAGCGTTTGCACCAAGCGATTACACCACCAAATGGGAAAACTTCAATCACATGGAAGTTGGGTCTCCCAAAATGTGTTGAGCGAACACAACCTAGGCCAACATACGAACACACATGCCTTCCACTGCTTGCCCACCGACAACCAGCAATGAAGTGATGTCTTGTGGGAAATTGTGACGAGTGATGAAAAGTGGGTATTTCGTTATGGGAATCCTAAACGTAAAATGACGTCGTGGGTAATTCTTCGGCAGCCCAGGACATAGACGTCGAAACAGAACATCCACTTGAAGACGGTTCTCCTGTGTATCTGGTGGCGGGACATGAAGAGTGTACTTTATTGCGAAGTCCTGGGAGGTGGTCGTCAGGCGGTGACTGTGGAAGGCTACAGCCGACAACTAAACAACATGAGAGAATGACTTGATGAGAAAAGGCCATTTAGTGGGTAAAGAAGCAGGCAGGTCATACTACTGCCGTCGCAAGACAACGCTCCACCACCGCGAGTTGCTCGCGGGCGACTCAGAAGACCCACTTGAAAGTAGGATGGGAAGTTGTGCCACACGTGGCATATTCATCAGATCTGGAACCCCTTCCGGATGCCCTTTGTTCCGGATAATGCACCTGCAGCAATCCCTAGCTGATAAAGTGTTCAAACCGCTGTATTATGTGCGTTAATTCGTCCTCGATGACTTTAGTGCCTCGAAGCCTACAAGTTGCTTTCGCGACGCCATTTGTGCGTTACCTGAGAGATGGCTCAAGGTCATAGAAGGCGATGGAAAATATTTCCATGAATAATTTCTTTGTTCTTTGTCTTTTTATATCAAGTAACTGCTAAAAAATCTGTAAAAATCAAGTCGCAGAAGCCTTTTCATTGTTTTCATTAAAATAACAATCAACTTTTGTCTTTGTTCATTGGAGCGGCACAAAAATATGGCGTGGAAATGATTTTCCCCACTTCCGAAATCGTAATTTTTAGAGTCTGGGCATGTAATTGGGCCTAAGTTAAGGTTCGTTCCGCAGGACTTTTAAGTTGACAATGTTTCGATTGGAATTCGCCCACATTGGTGGAATTAAAATATGATATGGGATCATTCAGTATTTTGGCTAGGATTTAAGACATATCTAGAAAATGCGCTAGTTAGGGAAGTCACGCAGAGTTTTAATCCAGCTTTCTACTTAGTTCCGCAAAGCTGGAACGTCTGAAAACGACTTCCACTGCGCACTTACGGTGTCCGACTCAGCTTCCTCCAACTGCTCCTCCTCCTCCGCCCCCTCCTCTTCGCCCTCCATCACT